GCGCCGCGCCTGCGCAGGCCGCCGCAGCCGCGGCCGCGCTCGCGGCGGCGCAGCCGCCGCGCCCAGCGCGGGACCTGGGGCCGTTCTCGCGGGCGCACCTGAAACCCTCCCCCTTCATGTCCGGCGCGGAGGCGGCCGCGGCGGGCGCGGGGGCGGCGTTCCCGGGGCAGCAGCAGCTGCAGCAGCAGCACTACCACCACCCCTTGTTCGGCGCCCCGACGGCGCCGCTGCCGGGCTACTACGGGTCTTTCTGCGCGCCCCCGCCGCCGCCGCCGCCAAAGGGCCTGGCGGCGATCGAGCTGCTGACCGGGCTCGAGGAGATTGATCTGGAAGTCGCAGAGACGGCGCTCCTCGGCCCCGACGCGCCCCCCGACGCGCCGCGCGCGCGCGACGCGCTGCGCACGCTGCCCGCGCTGCGGTCTGTCGCGCTGTGTCTGCACACCGAGCGGCAGGCGTTTGGGCTCGATGCCTTGGGGCAGGAGCTCGTGGCGTGGCTGACGCCGATGCCATCTGGCTGGGGCGACCTGCGTGTCGCGGTCAAGGGGCAGGGCGCGTCCGGCGGGCCCCAAAGCCTCGTGTCTGGCCGCCTCAGCGCGGCGCTGCCGCGCTGCCGGTTCGGCGCGGCGTGAGGCAGGGTCGTAACCGCTGTCCGGGGGTTTGGCGCACGCCTGAGGGCCTCCTCGTGCGCGCGCACGCGCCCGCACGCACATTTCATGTGACTGAATATTGAACGACAATTGTGGCCGTTCGCAAGCAGTTGCGCGAATGAAGATGCAAGCCGGCCGGCATATGTGGGGGTGATGCGCCCCCGCCGTCGCGCACGCATGGACGTTCTCGCCACCCCGCTGCTCTGTGGCGGCGGGCGCGGCGAGGGCGCCACCCTTTCGGCTTCCTCCGTGGGCCCCCGGCGCGGCAAGCACGCTGAGGCGTCACACACACGCATATCGGCAGCCGCGCCTGTGCGGCGGCTGCGTGTGCTCGCGAATCTGAACGAACCTATTTATACAGTACATCAAACGACTAAGCATATATGCAACCTCGGCCCTCCACTCGCAATGCGACGCGCCGGTTGCGCCACGCGACCTGTCGCGTCCGCGACGTGGCCTGGCCTTGCGTGCGGAGTTGCGCACGGCGCAGCCACCTGCGCCGCGCGGCCTCCACGATGACCGGGCATCCGCCTCTGCACGCGCGGGCCGCACCCGCATCCCACGAGCGTCGGCGCAGCTCGATGCCCGCAGCGCACCACAGGCGGAGTGGGTGGGGCCCAGTTTGCCTGGCCCGCACGGCGCCACGGCCACTGATTGCTGGCGGATGGGTGTCCGCATGAGCCCCCTTACTCCCCGCGTCTGGTGTTGTGCCGAGCCATTCAATCAATCTGCAAGCAGCGATGCACGCGCGCGCCACGCGGCGCGTTGGCCTTTACTAGCACAGAAATACATGGCAACACACGCACCCGTTGAGCCCTGCCCTGCGATTTGGAAAGGCGGGGCTCGGGCGCTCGCGTGCTGCAGTCTTGCCCGCATGTGGCAGGAGTTGCCACCCCTGCCGGGCCTCTGGCCGGCAGGCCGCGACCAGGCTGCGCCTTTGACCAGCGGCACACGCGTTTGACCGCACCCAAACGACGATTGATATGAAACGCCCTCCACCATCCATGGGGCCGTGCCCTCTGGCAGGCCCCGGCGCCGCCCCCCTCTGGCGCGCCCCAGCCTCGTTCTCCTCCCCTCACCTCTTTGATTTTGCCCATTCGTGTACGATGTTTCCTTCCAGCGCGGGGCGCGCGGCGCCGCGCTGGCCGGTCCGCGCCGCCGTGGCGCGGGCTGGTTTCGCCCGTGCCGTCGCGTGTCCCCCCTGTGATGCCCCTGCCCCTTCCAACGCCCCTGGCCGCCACCTTCCGCCGCCCGCCGCTCGCGGCGGCCCCGGTGGGAACCCCGGCCGCCACGGATTTGGCACACGGCCCCGTCGGCGATTTAATGATGCGTGTGTGTGTGTTCGGGTCCCACTGCTCTCGCGGAACGCAAAGCGCCCCCTGCTCTTGCGTTTGCGCCGTGCGGCAGCAGGCATTGCGCTGCGCATGGGGCACCCTGGGCCGAGCCGCCCTGCCCTCTCCCCTCGCCATTGCTTTTCTTTTTGTGGCGGAGTAACCACATGTCACCTGGCTTGCACATAGGCCCGGTTTTCCCATTCAGCAGGGGCGTGAACGGTGCTTTTGAGAAGCAAGAGGAGTAATATAAGACAGAAAAGAAAGCAGGGGGTAGCCATGCAATGATTCAAGAGAAATGTAGCAGGGCGAAGCTCACAGTATAGTCAGGATTGACCGGGTTGCACCGAGAGGCACACTGTTAGATACACAGTGTCTGTGATTGGTGTTGTCGGCCGTTTGATCCGTCGTGGATGTGCCAATGCGAGGCCCTAGACATGCAGACGCCTGCGAAATCGGCTGGCGGCGCCAGGCGGCTCATGCTTCTGAAAGCCAGTGCTAGCCGAGCACCCACGCTTGCGCGGCGAGCGGTGATCGGCATCTCCGCACCTGCGCCGCGCCCGACGCCCTGCTGCGAGGGCCGCGGCTTTTTGGCCCATGCGCGGCGCGGCTTTCTTTGCGGTACTGCCGCCGAGAAAAAAAAGACGAGCCCAGTCCTGCAGCCAGGAGCAAGGCGGTGATGCCAGTTGTGCAGGCCGAGTTGCCGAGTCAATTGGCGAAAGCCCCGAAAACAAGGCTGCACGCGCAAAGGCCGGCAGCGCGTCTGCGCCTGGCTTCACCCTTGCTGTGTAGTGTAGGCCCGGCCGGCTGTGATGCGACTTGCTGATGTCATAATGTGTCAATGCTGTCGAGGATCGCCTGACTTTTCTTGCCACTCTCACTTGTAGCGGCCACACTGGTGTTGTCGTCGCGGGTGCGGGTCGCACCTGTATTGCAGCCGCCTGCGGCCTCCCATTGGTGCCCCTGCACTGCACCTTGCAGAGTCGCCCCGCCACTGGTTGCAGCACCAACTGCCACCTGCGCCTCGCAATTGCCGATCGTAGATCCGCGTCTCAGACTTAGAGTACGCCTTGCCGGCTGTCGGGTGGCCCTAAAACACGAGGTCAGAAGGGTCAACGCAAGGGATTGACAAATGGCACATGCGGACCCTGGTGCAGCCAGCCTGTGTTGGCGGCAGCTACCAGTCAACTGGATGTGGGTATGAATGAGCCCGTGGGGTTGGCCTGGCTTGCCATTACGCGCCCATGTGGGCACAGGACTTGGATGAGAGCGCGGCGCCAACCCCCTCCGCACGTAGGCACCAAGAGCAGGCAGGCATGCGTGTGAACTCGCGCCCTCAAGAACCCACACTGCCGTTCCCTTATACGACACATACTTCACTTCGCTTTCGCTATCTTTGACGCTTTTATTACACCCACACCGTAGGCGAGATCACTCCCACCCCTACCGACCGGATCGCTGAGCCCAGCGTTGTGACTGCAGCTCTTTCAAGTTTCAACAGTACTTTTGGAGCACGTGGCTTCAGAGAGGGGGATTTCGGCGCGGCTGATCTGCAAGCGCCCACTGGCCCGCGGGGCGGCCTCTACAGGGCGTAACACGTAGCATCAGTCATGACTAGTCTGAAGGGTGTCGGCATCCCTGTCAAGCTGCTTCACGAGGCCGAGGGGCATGTTGTGACAGTGGAGCTCAAGACGGGAGAGATGTACCGGGGGCAGCTGCATTTGGCAGAGGATAACTGGAACGTCCAGATCAAGGACGTGTCGGCCACAGGTCGAGACGGCCATGTCACGCAGGTTAGCCGCGCGGCGCCGCTCGACTGTGGCGGTGGTGGCTGCCGCCGCGCTTTTACCAAAGGCTCCACCATGCTGTGACCACCCCGCATCTTCAGGCATATGCGGAGTCACGCATCGCCGTGCCTCGCGGCAGTATTAACCCCTTGCCCAACCCCTTTGCAACGCATCCCATCCCGCAGCTGGCGCACATCTACATCCGCGGCAGCCGGATCCGCCTCATAGTGGTGCCAGACATGCTTAAGAACGCACCCATGTTCAAGCGTATCGACCCCAAATTCAAGAACAAGGCGCACCCCATGGGTGCAGGCGGGCGTGGGCGCGCCGCAGCGGCGGCGGCGCGATCAAAGGCGCGGTAGGGCGCAGCAGTGCCGCGCACTCTGTGGGATTCGGCCGCGCTGCCCGTGGCAGCGACGGGGCGCCCTGCAGGGGCACTGACTGGTTGTTTTGCGATGCGCCCTCTTGTTTGTTCTGGTGGCGGATGCGGCTGCGATTTGCGCGCGCAGCATGCACACGCAGTGTGTTCTTAAGCTGCAGGCCAGCACTACTGGCGTTTTGGGCAGTCACGAACGCCCGCATGGCGGGCTTGCACGCACCTTCGTTGCCCGGTGGTGCTGCCTGCCGCGTGCATTCGACTTTGCTGCTCCTCTGTCCTCCTTGCGCGACGTGCCACAGTCAACAAAACAGCTGCTCGCCCAGGCGGCATGCCTTTTGATGATGCAGCGGCTGCCCCTTATTAACGTCCGTGTAACAGCTGGCTCGTACGCACCGGCCGCTGACCGGGTTGCACTATGTACTACGCATGGCTTCGGACATAAACAGTCAGCGTAGTGGGAGAGGTTACGCATTTAGAAGATGGAGGGACCCGCTGTCCACCTGGACAGGGGCCAATCAAATCGTCTTGCTTATGTGATACAGCAGATGTGCAACCATCCGCATGCATGTCGGGTTCGTCTGGGGGGTTTGTTTGCGAATTGGGGTACGAAATCGTGGGGACAGCAGGAACGGAGCCTGGATCTGGCGGTGTCCGGCACAGGTCCAGGGATTTGTGAGGTCCCAGGAATGGATTCCAAGATCACTATGCGTACATGCGGTCGCGCTGGGCAGCGCCGTGCATTTCACAATTCAGTCTGGGTGTGTGGCACGTCGACAGAGCGTGCTCGCTGGTGCTGTGATGGGTCGCAGCTCCCTCGGTCAACCCGGATGTTTTTGAGCAAGCCAATGTGCATCTCTCTGAACGTGCATGGATGCAACTTTGCATGCCTAGCAAAAATCCAGCCGGCGTAGTGCGTGTGCGTGCGTGTGTGCATGCATGCGTGTGTGCGTGCGTGCATGTGTGCGTGCATGCGTGCGCGCATGTGCTTGGGTGTGAGAGAGATAGAGAGAGTGTGTGTGTCTCTGTGTGTGTCTGTGTGTGACTGCATGACTGTGTGCATGGCTGCATTCTGGGACGTGTGCCCGCCCGTGCGCACCGAAGCCAGCGCCGCCGTGCACATCCCCAGTGTGCGGGCGCTCAGATGGCGCCTACCGCGCCGGCCCTGAGGAAGTCTGGCAGCTCTGTCACGGGGTCGACAGCTGCTGAGGGGCGGTTCCACCAGGCCTCCTCCAGGCCCCCATACGTGTAATCGGGCAGAGAAACATCCCCCACGACCCCACGCGCCGGTGGCCGCCCCGGTGTGCCCGGCTGCTGCGGGCGGCGGCCGGGCTCGGCGCCCCAGCGGCATGCCGGGAGCGCCGGCAGCGACTGCGGCGGCGCGCCCTGCGGCAGCTGCCCGCGGGGCCGTCGCTGTAAGAGCTGGGGATCATGGAGCGGCTGCTCGTGCTGGGTTTCATGGGGCAACGGGTCTTCCAATGTCTTACAGCGTGTCTGGACCACCGCTTGGCTGTCCGGACGGGTTGCCACGCCATCCGGCGGCGGCTGCCAAGGGTGCTGCTGTTGTCGTTGCTCCTGCTGCTGCTGGCCAAGCTTCTGATGTTGCACATACTTGTACTTCCCTTCCTGGTGCTGCTGCTCATATTTGGGCTGCTGCTGCTCCTGCGGCTGCTCCTGCTGCTGGTGATGATCCTGCTCCTGCTGCTCCTCCTCCTCCTCCTGCTGCTGCTGCTGCTGCTGCTGCTGCTGCTGCCGCCAATCGTCCTGCCTGTGGCGCCGTTTGGGGGCCCCCTCGCGCTCCTCATCCGACACCAAAGCCTGCACACGTACATGCAGAGGCGTTGCTGGCTGGTGGCCCATGAAGTGAGCTAGCCTGCTGCCTACGTTCGCCCAGATGCCTTGCGGATGGTCGAAGTCTGACAGGTCGTGCTGGCTGTGCTGTCGAAGCTGCTGAGGCGTGCACGAGTCGTGTTGATGGTGGTGGTGGTGTGGGTGGTTCATAAGCTGCTGTTCAGCGTGCTGTTGCTGCTGTTGCTGCTGCTGCTGCTGCTGCTGCTGCTGCTGCTGCTGCTGCTGCTGCTGTTGCTGCTGGTGCTGATGGGCCTCGAGTTGAGGATGCGGCTCTCGGTGCTCCTGGAAGCGGCGGCGCCATCGCCGGCGCGCCTCGCGCGGCTGCTGCTCGACAGCCTCAGGCTGCGGGGCGGCCCATGCTGCGCAGAGCCTGGGGCTGCGCGGCGAATGGTCGCCGGAGCGCGGCAGCGGAGATGCCAGGGCCGCGTCCCAGCCGCCGGCTTTGTCGTAGCACTGATCTACGTGGCTGGGCATGGCCGGCGCGACCGCCGACACCTGGGGCGCGGCGGCGGCGGCGGCGGCGGTAGGGCCGGTGGCGGGGGGCCTGGCAGCAGCGGCTGCGGCAGCTGCGGCGACGGCGGCGGCGGGTGCGGCTGCGGAGGCGGCGTCGTGCTTGAGCGCGCGCAGCTGCTGCATGGCGCCGTCCAGTAGGGCGTCCACCTGGCGGCCCCGCATGAGCAGCTCCTGCAAGAGGGGGGCCGAAGGCAGGGGCGGCCTCGATATGCAGGGGATGCGAGGCTTGGGGAGGGCCGCGTGGGTTACCTTCCATTTCAAAGGCCCAGTGCAGGGACAAGCAGCGGCGCACACGGACGGCCGGCGCCACGCAGGCGCCACTCGAAGCTGACATCATGCGATTGCAACCATCCAGCATGCTGCCGGGCGCGAATGAGCCCCACCTCCATCCGCCCCTCTCCACAGGCGTAGCGCGCCTCAATTCCATCCGCCAGCTCCTGCCACGCGCTCAGCATCTGCGCCGCATCGCCGCCGCCGCCCTCCGCCTCCGGCCGCGTCGCCGCCGCCAACCCTGCAGCCGCCGCATCCCCGTCCCCATCGCCGTCACCGTCGCGGCGCGGCCCGCGCAGCCGCGGCGCCGTGGCGCCCGCCGCGCGGCGCGCCAGGCGCAGCAGCGCGGCGAGGCGGCCGCGGGTGTCTGCCAGCTCAGCGCGCAGCGCGCGGCCCTCTGCAACTGCGGACAGCAGCTGCGAGCGCAGCCCGCCGGGGGCGCCGCCGCGCGCCTCTGTGTCCGGCCCTGCGTCAGGCGCCTGCTCGCGCCATTGCTGCTGGTGCTGGTGCTGGTGCTGCTCCTGCTGCTGCTGGTGCTGCTCCTGCTGCTGCTCTTCCTGTCGATGCTGGTGGTCATGCTGATGTTGGTACTGCTTGATGCCATGTGAGGGCTCGTCTCGCTCCAAGCCACCCAAAATGTCTTCTATCAAGTCATCAACTGTCCTGTCAGCATCCTCCTCGCTCTCCTGATGTTTCAACAATAAATCTGGTGCAGCCTGCTGGCACGGCCGCAGCAGCAGCCGCTGCAGCCGCTCCACTTCGCGCCGCAGCCCCGCCCCCGCTTGCTCGAGCTCCGCGCACCTCGCATCCGCTGCAGCGACGCGCGCCGCGGCGCCGGCCCGCGCGGCCTCTGCGGCTGCCAGCCGCTCCTCCAGGCGCGACGCGGCGGCGTCTCCGGCCGCGCGCGCATCCGCCAGCTGCTCCGCCGGGCCCCCGGCGCGCCGCTTGTGCTGCTGCCTGTCGTGCTGCTCGCTTCCGTGCGCGGGCTCCCGTCGTCCTCCACCCAACTCGCCCTTTGCCGCGAGCCGGGCGCCCTCGCGCCCAGATTGATCTCGCGGCGCGCGTGTGTCATCCGACTTTGCCACCTGGCTGCTGCTGCTGCTGTTGCTGTGGGCGCACCCCCTTCGCGCGACGCCCTCTGCCGCGGCCAGGCGCGCGCGCAGGTCCCGCGCGTCTGCCTGCGTCTCCTCCAGCTGCACCCGCGTCAGGGCCAGCCACCGCCGCAGCCGCTCCGCCTCGCCCGCCGGCGCGTCCGCGTCGCCGCCGTCGCTCGCGGCGACTAGCCCTCGGGATCGCACAGTCGCGTGCCCGCCCCTCCGGCCGCGCCCGCAACCGAGCCCGGCAATGCGTCCGCGGCGGCATCCGCAGCTGCGCCAGCGTCCGCGGCCGCGCCGGCGTCGGCGGCTGTGCAGCCGGCCGGGCCCGTGCGCGCGTACAGGGCCTCCCGCAGGCGCCCTGCCTCTGCCTGCGCATCGTCCGCGCGGCGCTCTGCGTCCGCCGCGCGCCGCTGCTCCGCGTCGAGCGCGGCGCGCGCAGCCTCCAGCTGCTGCTCCAGCTCCCGCTGCGGCGCCGGCAGGGCCGGCTGCGCCGGCTGCGCGCGGGGCGGCGG